CTGTGTCCGTGCCACGGTTTCCACGCTACGGAGAGGCCAGCCTGCTCCGGGCTAGGAAACACAGTCGCTGGGGAGGTGCTGGCCCAGCTGACAAGAGCCATCAAGCAAGCCTGTGCCAACGTCTTTCTGGTAAAGAGGACAACCGTGGTGGGCTGCTGAGCCTGGGCTGGCGGCGCGGGGAGGCTCTGCTCACCTGGCAGCCGCGGCTTTGCTTTGCTTTATTTTTTTAAAGAGATTTTTTCTATAGGGTGTGTGAGATGGCCGGATTGACAGAAATACTGAGACAGAGAGAAAGAAAGCCAGAAATCAACCCCCTCCCCCCCAGGAGGGGGGGATGGCAACACTGCAATCCCTGTTCCTCCATCCTCCTCTTGAGATTTTGGGCGTGCAAGCACTCACACCAGGCGTGAGTTTAAGCCACCTGGTTTGGGACTCAAACTGTGGTCGACTACATGGGAGTCCAGAGAAAACCATTACGCCATCTGCTGGTCCCCAGCTGCAGCGTTCGAAGAACAGCCTCCCCACCCCAACAGTGACAGGGCACAGTGCAGGCCTCAGGGACATCCTGCCTGTCATCTCCTCCTTCTGTGAGGCCCAGGAAGGAGTGGTACCTTGGCTTAGGCCTGCATCACCTGCATCACCCGCCCAGAGCCATACTCAGCGGTGACAGGGCACTGTGATTTCAAGGGCAGCTGGAACCGAGTCACATCACAGGACAAGAAGAGACCCCACCCCAGCCCCACAGAGCACAGGCAGTGGAAGCTGCGGGGAGCAGAGTGGGGGACCTGCCCCCAAACCAAGGCTGCTGGGCGTAGAGAAGGGGAGGACGGCCCAGGAAGAGCTCCCCAGGGCCTTTCATGGCCGGGGACCCTGAGGCACAGCACGCCTGTCCTCCCCAGTCAACCGTAATGGTGACAGTCCAGTGCCACCAGTGGGAACCCCACCCTCGACAGGCATTTTTTATTTTTGAAAGGAAAACAGAGGTTGCTGAGGCATTGAAGGTGAAAAGTTCATGGAAAACACATACTATGAAAAAAGTACACAGGGATTTCAAAGTTTTTACACCAAAATAAACACATACTTTTAATGCCACTTTTCTGCAAACTTTTTGAAGTCTTACCCATGCGATGTCCAGTGTGGGACAGAAACAGGCACAGTGAGATGTCACCCCATCCCGAAGTCTTCTCTCCCTCACCCCCACCTCTGGTGACAGTGACACGCTCCCTGCCTCCCTCCTCTGTTCTCACTCTGGTGGGTGGTGGCCACCGTCCCCCACACGCCCTCTCCCTCCCTGTGGTAGTTACTCAGGAGCACAGTTACCCACACTTCAGTGCGACACTCCTCACTGCAGCCCACCGTGGGCTCCTTGCCACACCAGACAATGCAAGGCTGAGCCACGGTGGCTTCACAGGGGCAGGTGCGCATGCAGGTGGGAAGTGAATGGGGACAGAGGATCACGACCGCTCAGACAGAAAGCGACCTAAGAGAACAAGCCGGAACTTTAAAAATATATTCCTAAAAACTGTAATCCCTCCTTTTGTGTATTTTTTCAAAGAATTATTTAATTGTATTTGTGGGACCAGCAGTTAGCTTAATAGCTATGTCGCTTAACTCCCATGTAGCTGACCTTGGTTCCAGTCCCAGACCTGGTGACTTAAACTCACAATGGGCACATGTGTGTGCATGCCCAAGATCCCAAGAGAAGAGTGGAGGAGAAGGGACTGCGGCGTGGCCATCCCCCCTGGGGGTGATTTCTCTCTTTCTGTCTCTCTCTCGCTCCCTCTCTCTCTCTGTCGGGCGAGCGCACGTGCCCTATAGCAAAAACCTCTCCAAAAATATATATATATTTACTTGTATTTGTTATTATTATTTTAATTTGCTACAGAGCACATGAGCTCACCAGAGAGACGGAGGTAGGAGGGAGTGAGACAGCAAGCTTCCAGGTCTGGGACTTGAGCCATGATTGGCCCTGTAAGAGATCAGCACCCTAACCAACATGCTACCTGCTGACCCCAGCTCTCCCCCACACCACTTCTTAAAATTAAAATATATAGAGAACTCCAGTGTATAAGAGTAATTCAGACATAACTGTGGAGGCAGAGGCCTAGTGAGGGCAAAACCAAGACTCTCCGAAACCACTCGGGACCTCTCCCAACCAGAGGCACAGTGCACGGCTTGGAGGTCCCTGATCTAGCCATCCGATCTTCAGTTCCACAAATAAGGGAATGAAAGCTCAAGGATTTTAAGCAGTTTGACCCAAAACCCAAATAAGTGAGAAGAATGTGGACTAAGATGCAAATCACCTCATTCTACGTTAGTGTCCATTCTACTCATTAGAACAGTTTCAACAATCCCAACTGCAAAAATCCAAAATTTACAGTAGGGGCTTCCCCTCCACTTCCTTCTGAGCCTATCCAAAGTCCAGCACAATGTCTGAGAACAATGAACGGAAACGGGATTTTGCAGAGTACAGTCTGGTCTGGTTCCAGCTGCGGTGGATTTAGGACACCTGCCGTAAGTATCTTTCTCAGCTCTTGTCTAGAGCTTCACGTTTGGCTCACAAACTCTCATCTATACATGGATTGCTCCCACCCCAAAGGATATGAATCTTAAAGTACTGTTGCTGTGGGCCAGCAGGTGGCACAGTGAGTAGGGCTCTGGACTCCCCCATGACCAGCTGTGGTTCTCGTCGCGGACCTGGCAGCTTGACACACACTGGGTGCATGTACTTGCATGCCCCAAATCCCGAGAAGAGAACGGAGAAGGACTGCGGCATGGCCATTTCCCCTGGAGGGTGATTTCTCACTTTATTTCTATCTTTGTCTTCAGCCCAAGTACAAACCTTATAGCAAAAAAACCTCTCTCTTAAAAAACAAAGAAACAAAAACAACACCTGCCCGTTGTGAAGGAAATAAGGATCTACAGGGACAAGTTAAGATGCCACCTTGGTGGGAAACCCTGGAGCCTGCCCTGCAGACTCGGGCCCGTCCTCGTACACATGTGTGCCAGCCCTGTCACACTGAAATGAGTGACATGATAAATAAGAAAACTGCATTTTACGAGGAACCATGAGATTTTAACCAGCATAAAAGTTTGAAAGCATCAGGACCAGCAGTTAGCGTAATGGCTATGTCGCTGGACTCCCATGTAGTCAACTGCGGTTCGAGTCCCGGACCCAGCAGCTTAAACTCATGCCGGGCTCGTGTGCATGCGTGCCCAAGATCCTGAGAGGAGAATGGAGAAGGGATTGTGGCGTGGCCATCCCCCCTGGGGGGTGATTTCTCGCTGTCTATCTCTGTCTGTCTGGCGAGTGCACACACCCTATAGCAAAAACCTCTCCAAAAAAAAAGTTTGAAAGCATCACAAATTAAAGATGCTTAACATATATCTGTGGAGGGACCAAAGTACTATACTTTCACAAAAGACAAGGCCGGGCAGGCAAAGGCAAGACCTTTAAGTACCGAGAGGTATTAGGTGAGGCAGCAGAGAGCCATGCTCGCCTCGAGAGAAAACGCCACGGGTTCAGAAGCTCGTGTGACTCAGGATCTGGAAGACCCGGCTTGGCAGCAAAATCGGAAATCTGTTCTTCATCTGGCAAGGATAGGCTGCATATATTTGAAATCACTGGCTGACTGCAGTGAAAAGCTGTCCAGATTTGGATGGAGACTAAGGCAGGGTGGGAGGAGGGAATAAAGCAATCCTCTAAGTTTTGCATTAAATATTTCATTATGGCAGAAATTCTCGTTTCCCAGACACATTGTATGGTACCAGAAAAAAAATTACACAAATTTGCTTTAAATCTAATGTGATCTCTTTTTAATTCAAAATGCTCCTTTCCCATCAGTCTCCCTTAGGTGTAAGTGGTTCACCCCAAAGTAATATTAAACTGCAAGTAATTCACAGTCCATGACCCTGTCTCTGGTCTTTGCTTTAAAATTGGGCTTTAACTTTCTTATTTCTTACATCAATTAGAATGGGAAGTCACATTTTCGGTTAAAAGAATAAATCTTAATTAGTACTTGTAAACAGTATACACTAATCGACAAGGTTTACTATTATTATTAGGACTTTAAAGACCTTTCTATTCTAAGTAAATATATTAGTAGAATTTCCCTGTTACTTGTAAATAGAATAGTTATTTTTGTACAAGAAATGTTTAACTACAAAGATAAGTTCCCCTGAAGCATACATTTGTACATATTTATAAATCACTTTTTATTGTTCATTCATATTAACCTTCGGCTTTCAATAATTGTGGCTTAAACATTCTGCCCTTTGGAAGTACACACACATGACACAAACATATCTTGATAAGTCAGTTAAAAAAAAAAAAAAAGCAAGAATAACTCCTACAAGCAAAAGTATGTTTTCTAAATCATGGATGATTACAGATATCCACGGGAGGCATCACGTTATAGACGCTATACAACTACTGTTCTAACCATTTAGGTCCTCAGGCTAACGTTCCACCCCGAAGAATTATTAAAGGTTCCAAATCATTTTTTTGAATATGGATTATGTCACTGCGTACTGAATTAAAACTGAGATTAAAAAATGAGTTACTTCATAAAAATAGCAAAACAATTTGGTGTCAACCAAAATTACATTTTTACCAAAGGTAACTATATTTTACAAGCGCAATTAATGAGAACAATGGCGCTGCACTGTGTCACACTTTTCACAATTTTCACTTTGCTCTCCGGCTGAAAAGACAGACTCCCGTATCTGCCTCTGTGAAATCCATCGCACGTGACATGCCACGTGGCCCTGAGGCATGCCATGTGGCCCCTAGGAAGCCCCGTGGTATACTTGTGAGAGAAGCAGAGTGAAGGGGCAAATGAGGTCTTATTATTATTGTAAAAACAGTTGAGACCTCATAGACCCCATAGACCCCCGTGAGGTGTCCTGTGACACCCTTGGGTTCCCCGGAGCACACTTTAAGGACCATGGTTCTAGCCAGCAGTCCGTAAATGCCATTCTTATAACCATCATACACTTACAGGTCTCCATGCCTTCGTCGTCATCATCAACTGCAGGTTTGTCGTAAGACTTGTCAATGGCAGCCCGGAAGCTCTCGTTGCAGCCCCTTCCCCTGATAATCCGGGGCCGTGGACGATGGAAAGGAATGTCCCCATTCAAAGTCACCTCGGCCACCGCTGTCTGCAGACTTTCTAAGGAGCTTGATTTCTTCAGGCCCAGGGAGGGTCCCACGTCTCTGCTGGGGGAGCCTTGGAGGTTCACAGAAGCCACATGTTAGAATTAGTGGTGAAAATACATACCTGATATATTTCCACTCTGTGCAAACCTTTGGGGACATACAGTATTTTCTCAATGATGAGTTCGGGAGTGTGGATAGGTAAGACACAACGAGAAAGTAAAGCAATACTTACTAATTTTTATTTTTCCTAAGTTTATCTCAGGTTTCCTCTATTTTCATTAAGAAAAACATGAGAACAAAATCATCAGCTTTCATTGTATCGTGACAGATGAAACCTTTGTCAAATCAGTTTGCTGCAAGTAACATGAACATGCCAAAGGCAAGAGCTGCTTATTTGAAAAGCAGAGGTGATGACAAGGCGACCAGGAAGAAGCTTTCCGTTGGAACTGCAAGCACTTTCAGCAGCTCAATGGGGGCTAGAAGTCCGTGTCAAGGGGTTTCCTTGAGTCTCCTTCCTATCAACCTGCAGACTGTCAACCATCCATCTCCCAAAGAGCCCAGAAATAACAGTCGCCAGGGAAGCAGGGCACCCGGAACTGGGTAGGCACTTGATCCCAGGAAATGAGTTCTACAGAAAGAGCAAGGCACGCCTGAGTCCCGCAGAGGGAGCGAGGGGGGACGAGGAGCAGGCTGTGAATATGTTAGTCCCAGTCTCGGAACAGTGTCTGAAAAGCAGGTGAGGGACCAGAGGGAGATGGCCTCGCAACTCCAAGAACATTTCCACAGGACAGCAGGGGAGGGTCCGGGAAATTAAGGATGTGGCTCTTTCTCTTGGGGGAGATGGCCAACACTACCACGCTTTAGGGAACAATCAAAACGGATTTCTTTGGCGGGGGAGACAGCCTCATCCATCAAGATGAAACCTTTGTCAAATCAGTTTGCTGCAAGTAACATGAACATGCCAAAGGCAAGAGCTGCTTATTTGAAAAGCAGAGGTGATGACAAGGCGACCAGGAAGAAGCTTTCCGTTGGAACTGCAAGCACTTTCAGCAGCTCAATGGGGGCTAGAAGTCCGTGTCAAGGGGTTTCCTTGAGTCTCCTTCCTATCAACCTGCAGACTGTCAACCATCCATCTCCCAAAGAGCCCAGAAATAACAGTCGCCAGGGAAGCAGGGCACCCGGAACTGGGTAGGCACTTGATCCCAGGAAATGAGTTCTACAGAAAGAGCAAGGCACGCCTGAGTCCCGCAGAGGGAGCGAGGGGGGACGAGGAGCAGGCTGTGAATATGTTAGTCCCAGTCTCGGAACAGTGTCTGAAAAGCAGGTGAGGGACCAGAGGGAGATGGCCTCGCAACTCCAAGAACATTTCCACAGGACAGCAGGGGAGGGTCCGGGAAATTAAGGATGTGGCTCTTTCTCTTGGGGGGAGATGGCCAACACTACCACGCTTTAGGAAGCAATCAAAACGGATTTCTTTGGCGGGGTAGACAGCCTCATCCATCACTGCCTGACTGGGCACTCGCAGGTAGACTAATTTAGCCTCGAGACAGCTAAAATACCCACTCTGAGCCTCACGTGGGCAATGCAGGCTCCAGAGCTGGCTCTGCACGTACAGTGCTCAAAAGACAGGTTAAAAAAAATGAAGGGTAGGAGAAACAAAATAGTTTCTCTCTACATGGGATCGTCAGCCATATGTTGATCAATAATTAAGGAGTAGCCTTGTCATGTTTATTACCTAGAAGACAAATCATTGTGACTTGGGCTTTCCATAGCTCAGAGCAGGAACAGAATGACAACTGAACGGAGGGAGGCAACAGAATTGTCTTCTTAAGACTCATTTATGTTACATCTTTCACCTAATTTTCACAATGGGGTAGCGGCTTTAAGCAAGAACAGATGAGTACAGTAGCAAGGCTCTAACGAAGAAGTTAGAGTTCATAAAGTCATGTGCTGGGGAAGGAAAAGAGGACAGATTTTGCTTTCTCAATGCGGGCTTGTATATAATTCATAATTTATTGTATGACCAAAGTTCACATGAAATATTTCTTTCAAGGAGATCAATCTTATGTCTTCTCTTGATAGCACTCCAATTTCTGACCAGGTCATTTTCTGAATTACTCATAAAAGTCATGTCACAGAAAGGAAAAATAATTTTGTTCTGAAGCACTAAAAATAAAAAAAAATTTAAAAAAAAAAAGGAAGTAATCAAGGACTCAGAAAGAAAAAGGAAAAGATCATCCTGGTCAGGGATGTTTACATATGTTTTTTTAAATAGCTATTGAGGAGGATTTTTTTTTAAAAGGTTATTTTTTCAGGAATGAGAGAGAGCTAGTAAGCACACTCCCAGCAGGGCCCACTACCACGACCCACCCCCAGCCTTCCTCCAGCCTTGGGTCATTGGCACAGTGCAGTGGTGTCCAAAGCCCAAGAAGGTGCCCCGATTTGAACCAGCAACCTTCTTGTGTGGCATTGCCTTGGTAGGGTGCCACCTTTTCACCACCCAGTACCATCTGGCCTCGGGGCTATTTACCATTATACTTCCAACAATGGGCACTGGGAAGATCTTTTTCTGAATAAGTTGTGCCTATCGATTTTTACAATTTACCGGTGTATTTGGGTTGTACCGATAATTGTATAGATGACATAGCAGGTATGTTGCTGGACTCCCACATGGCCAACCACAGTTAAAGTCCCAGATCTGGTGGCCTGAAAATCACATTAGGTGCATGTGCATGCATGCCCAAGATCCCAGAAAGAGAACGGAGAAGAAGGGATTGTGGTGTGGCCAGCCCCCGGGACTGATTTCTCAATTTTGCTCTCACTGTCTCTCTCTGGAGAGTGCTGGTGCCTCATAGCAAAAACTTCTAACTAAAAGAAAGAAATTAAAAAAATGCTAGACAAAATATTTGGTACTTTCTAAAGTTCATCAAGGATATGTGTGTGTATTATATATATATATATATATATATATGTACAAGTATGTATATGTATGTGTGCATACGTCTCCAAGAGAGATTTCATATTTTCAGTAAAGATCATTGAAAATCAATTTTATAAATTCAGCTTTCTTTGTGAAAAGATAGCTGAGATTTTACTTAATATCCTAAGAGCAATAAAAACTATAATAAATTTCAGAAAGGGCATGAGTATATATGAAAACTGAGGATCCCTCACCACAGAGAAGGCAAATGTCTAAGAAAAACAATGAATTACAAGTATAATTAAATGAACAATAAACATTGTGTAAGTGCAATTCGGAGTGTACCCATCTCAAGTTTTTCCCTAAATTCATACCACAATGATGGAAGGTTTGGCACTGGTAAGTGCTGAGGGTCAGCACTGGGTTTGTAGGAGCTGGGGAGTGGGTCTCTGCATTTACATAAGGCAGAAATGTCTCAAAATAATAAGTTATGCAAGGGACCAGCAGTTAGCGTAATGGCTATGTCACTGGACTCCCATGTAGTCGACCATGGTTCGCGTCCCCGACCCGGTGGCTTGAAACTAATGCCGGGCATGTGTGCATGCATGCCCAAGATCCCAGGAGGAGAATGGAGGAGAAGGGATTATGGCATGGCCATTCCCCCTGGGGGGTGACTCTGTAACAGGGACCAGTCGACTGTGAGCCTAACCTGGAAAATTCAGATAGAACAGCCATGGCCATGTATGGATGCCTTCACTGTGTGATGGAGAATCCGAGAGCCCCAACAGAGACCACACATTCCACAAAACTCGAAGATTGACTGCTTGTCCCTTCACAGAGAGTCCTTGGTGACTCTCGATCCATAAAAAGGGGTTCACCTAGGGAACCAGCAGTTAGCGTAATGGCTATGTCGCTGGACTCCCACGTAGTCGACCACGGTTTGCGTCCCGGACCCAGTGGCTTAAAATTCACGCCGGGTGCATGTGCGTGCATGCCCAAGATCCCGAAAGGCGAATGGAGGAGAAGGGATTGCAGCGTGACCATCCCCCGCGGGGGTTATTTCTCACTTTCTGTCTCTATGTCTCTGTCGGGCGAGCGCATGCGCCCTATAGCAAAAACCTCTCCAAAAAAAAAAAAAAAGAAAAAAGAAAGGGGTTCACCTAAACCTGTTGGCCCTCAGACAGCAAAGTGTGATCTCTGGAGTGGCCACATGCCTGGTGTAGTGCGCTTCGCTTTGGGCCAGGAAGTGGGCTGCTCCCGGAAAGTACGCTGCTGTCTTAACCTCTCTGCTGCAGGTTACTATGTGAATATTGCATTTTAAGTACTGCATTTGTCAAAGAAAGTTTAACACAGGTGTAAAGTGATACATTACGACTTTTAAATGAGGTTACTAACTTCTCAAACATTATAATTTAGCATGTACTAGTAATACCAAGCGAAAAGAATCTTTCTCTATATATCTTTCTGGATAAGTAAGATATTTTACTTATATAGAAAAAGCAGTCTGTTTTATCTTCATTTTAAAACAATATCTTAAAGCTCTCACTTTATATAAATCTTTTAAGTCATTAGTTTACTTTGCTTATTTTTTATAATTCGAGGCTTAAACTGTTAGAAACCCAATTCTCTTTTTATCCCTGTTCATCTTTGTTCTTTTGGAAGTCCACTTTACCCCCCTGCATGATATAAAGTCTCTAAATCCAGGAATAAAGGGACAGGAGTCATAAACATACTATTTCCTCTAGATCTTATTTTCCACTCCAAATACTCCTCTTGCCAAAAGAGTAGAGGATGTCTTCTGCAAATCACAGAGGGAAATGGGATTCAATTTTCATTACTAAAGGCCGATGGCCAGATGATCTAGGCTAAAATGCCACTGTCCTTGTCCCAACTTCAGTTAAATTAGAAAATCATGATAGTCGTTAAAATTCAAGTAAAACAGGGGCCAATAGGTGGCATGGTGGATAAGGGCGCTGGACTCCCACATGGCCAACCACGGTTCGAGTAACAGACCTGGCGGCTTTCTCTCTCTCTCCCCCCCCTTTCCCTCTCTGGTCAAATTTAAATGAATAAATAAATAAATAAATAAGGTTAAAATAAAGCAATTCTTTTAAAAAAATTCAAGTACAGAACCGGCAGTTAGTATAAAGGCTATGTCGCTGGACTCTCAGGTAGTCGACCACAGTTCGAGTCCTGGACCTGGTGGCTTAAACTCATGCTGGGATCCCGAGAGGAGACTAGAGGAGAAGGGACTGCAGCTTGGCCATACCCTAGGGGGTGACTTCTTGCTTTCTATCTCTCTGTCTCTCTGGCGAGCACATGCACCCTATAGCAAAAACCTCTCAAAAAAAGAAGACAAAAAAAATTCAAGTAAAACAAAGAAATAAAAATAACTGGAGACCTAGCTAGTGCAGTTGGGGCAGAGGGATATCTAGTATTAAATTAAAAACAACAGACAAAAAATTACTTTTGCATCTCTCCAGTGATTTTTGATCTCAAGATATTCCAATTGAATGTGTTAGTATAGATTGTACATAAGGCCAAAAAAAAAAAAAAAAAGGCGAGAAAAAGGATCTTTTTATGTAAGATTAAGCATTTTAAAACATAGTTTAATTAGACTATGAAACCTGCACTCTTGCTATAAGAGTTGTAGAATGCTGTCAGTTAAAATCTGGATATTCTTATTTTTTTAAAGATGTTTTTGGGATAGGGCATGTGTGCACTTGCTGGAGAGAGAGACAGAGACAGTGAGAGAGAAAGTGAGAAATCACCCCCCAGGGCGATGGCCACACCACAATCCCCTCTCCATTTTCCTGCCGGGATCTTGGGGACACATGTACACACACGCTCCCAGTGTGATTTTCAAAGTACTGGGTCTAAGACTCAAACTGCAGTTAGTCATTTGGGAGTCCAGGGATGTAACCACTATGCCACCCACTGGCCCCAAGGGTATTCTTGATTTCTAAAATCACAATAAATCATTCCATACTTTGTAATAGCTATAAGTTGATTAAAGTAAATATTTTTCTCATTTTACTTAATGGGCATAGTATATCAGGCCACGACCTTTAACCTGAGCAGTTCAACCTTGTTTCTATTCACTTTAACTTGGACAAGGGTTATTTATTTATTTTTAAGGTTTTTGCCATAGAATGTGTGTATTCCCTGGAAAGAGAGAGACAGAGGGAAAATCCCTTCTCTTCCATTATGTTCTTGGGATTCTGGTCATGCACTTACACACCTGGCCTGATTTCCAAGTCACCAAGACTGAGACTCAAACTGCAGCTGACCACATGAGAATGCAGCTCCTTAACCATAAAGCTACCTGCTGGCCCCTAGGTGTAACTTCCTTAAAAGCACTAAATATTTCTAACTCCCAAAACCGATTACTACATTATATATGTCAACTATCAAATACTTTCTCAGTTTTTCTTTAGTCCTGCTTCAGAATGCTAATGAATTTTGCATCTGATAAGAAAAATAACTACTTAGTATGGGTTCAAGCTATAGTTCATTGCCTTGCAATACAGTTAATCTTATGATTTATTGAGCATAATTTTTACAATCTATCTTTTGCTCTACAGAATGTGGTAACTCCAATCATTTCCAAAATAATCTTTACATACATATGTGGTAAACACATATCTCAAGCAGGCTAAAAATAATTACTACTGCAGGTTAAAAAGGTGAATTGAAGCTAATTAGGGCTAAATAGTACAAATGCATTATAGTAGATCTAGAATAATTAAAACACCATTCCAAACGTATAATAATATATTATAAATGCTCAATTGTGCAAAGTACATTATTTTAACTAAGTACTTTCGTCTGACAATTTTCATACAACATAAAAAGTAAAATGTACTATAATGCCAAATCGAGTTAACAAAATCCACTGTTCTACAGAATGACTCAGCCGTACTTCAGAAGTAATGAATTTAGGACAGGTTCACGAAGTTGAGATATGGGAGCCATGGGGCCAGCAGGTGGTGCTGTGGTTAAGGTGCTGGATTCCCAGAGGGCTTACTGTGGTTCAAGTCCCAGGCCTTGCTTTGTTACTTTCCATCTCTCTGGTCAAATTAAATAATAATAATAAAATTAAAGAAATAATTCTTTTTTAAAGATGATGGAGTCAGTCGTTCAACACTCTTACAGTTGAATGTAACATCAGATTAAATATAGCTAATTTCGGAATCTGAAAAAGAATTAGGGTTTTCTGAATAACTCAGGATAGCAATACTAGTCATATTCTTCTTCAGCGAAAAACATTTATGTTGGCATTATCTATTAGCTTTCAAATACAAAATTACCACTTTGAGATTCATTCTTTGTATATTAATCTAGATATCCTATAGATAACCTGAAAACCTAAGAGCTTACCATAAAAGAGCATGTTTTCAGAATTGTGATTTTGTTTTAGATTGTAACAAAACATTCCTATGCAAATGTTATTAAAATTCAGGTCCTTGGGACCAGTAGTTGGTGCAATGGCTATGTCTGGTGGCTTAAACTCACGCCGGGCACATGTGCGTGTGTGTCCAAATCCCGAGAGGAGAATGGAGAAGGGATTGCAGCATGGCCATCCCCCTGGGGGTGATTTCTCGCTTTCTGTCTCTCTGTCTCTCTCTGTCTTTCTGGCGAGCACACGTGCCCTATAGCAAAAACATCTCCAAAGAAAAAAAACAAAAAATCATGGTCGTCGTAAGCATTTTTGAAGTACTAAATTATTTCTTTTAGTATGTGCACCACTGATAAATTTTTTCTAACAAAAAATTTTCTTTTCTTATACAATTTGATTTCCCACAATGAAAACATCATTGCAAGACTGGAATATTTATGTTGACACATGATATGATTGGCAGCTCTATAACTGTGATAATCTCCTTGAACCGCGGTTTCTATGGCAACAGTCTAACTGTCCGTTCTTACCTGCTTTCTGGTCATCCACTGTATTGAGTTTAGTCTCGTCAGCTACTGTTAAAAGGTAAATGCATAATGGTTAGCCCGTTAGTCCCCACAGGCCAGCATGCTTCAACCATTCCCAGATCTTTTCAGTTAGGCCATAATTCTTTGGTAATATTTCATGCAAATAATATGACACACCAAGCAAACATTCATAATCAAAACAGGGAGGAAAAAAAGCAGTGTCTCCATGCAATATGCCAGTCATTTCACTTCGTCACGTGTGTTATTTGTATGTTAGCATATCATAATTAGCCAAGGCACCGCATCGCCAAATTTTTCTTTTATGCTTATGGTAAATTAATGCTGTTAGTCTTAAGTACAAACAGCCACCAGAGAACAGCCTATGTTACAGTTTATTAACAAAGGTTTTAAAATCATTCCGTTCATGGATATAATTAGTTATTTTTCTTAATTAATTATTATTATTATTTTTGGGGGGGTAGATTTGGATTTAAAAAGAGACACTACCTGATTGGTGTTTGACTGAATAACTATGGTCATTTTCCTTCTCTGGTTTGCTCTCAAATATTCTCTCAAATTACAACTTTGATTAAATGCCTTAATTAGCAAAACATAAGAATCTCTATTAAATAAACCTTAAGGAATAGCAATGAAAGGAAGATATCATGAAGTAACCAAATTCCAGACATGGATTGAGATAATGGTTTCTCTCCACAAGCTTTTCTTCTAGTTCAAAAATCTCACAACCAACCAAATACAATTTCAATAGAATTGGTCTTAAACAGCTGAGGTGCTACGACGTTTCATTTTACAAGGCTATACGGGTAGCATGATATGCACGTGTGCTTGTGTCTGTTCTCACAAGAAAACATATATACGAACATATTGCATATTATGTAAACATGCCACTTACGGGTGATACGGTTATCTCAAACTCAGAGAACAACTAATTTTTGCCAAATTGCCACATTTCATATTTATTTTCTCTACTGCTCGAAGTAAACAGACATGTGTTTGGGACCATCAATTTTATCCCGAAAGCATCTAAACCTTATTTAGATAAAGATTCATGGAGATTGTACTCACTACCTAAATCCATGCTTTTTGATTTTCGTGTTTTAATGAAATCCAATTGACTGGCATCTGAAAATTGCTTTGTGCGTTTTTCTGACATACTCTGGCGTCCAAATCCTTCCCGTTGAAAAGCAAGAACTGGATCAACATCTGGACTCAAAGAGCTGAGGTGAAGAAAGAGATAAACACAAAGTATTTACTGAGAATAATGACAGCCAACTTAGGAACTCATATACACCTGTGTACATGAATACATGCTTATGTACAGTCCTCAAAATAGTTTAAACTAAATAACACAAATGGAGTCCACTCAAAACCCTGCGATGGAAAAAATACCATGTTAATTTCGTGTTAGAGTAACTCCATGTAAATTTCCTGTCTACTTCCCTTTCTCGAATCTTCCACTCTACTGGGTAATACATCATTATTTTGAAGTGATCATAAAAAATGAGCCTGATTTTTCTTCAGACAGTGCTAGAATTAAATATCTGAACAACTCTGTAGTTTAATATACAAATATTAGGATTACACAAGCGACTATATAAACTACAACTGAAGCTCCAGAAATGATATTTTCTGGTCCTTCTACAGATTGTTTATCTTGTGTTTCAGAAAGAAAAGCCCCTCTTTCGTATGTTGTTTCACAAGGATACAGTTTCCCTGACATACTTAATTAATCAAGTGAAAAGAAATCAATTCAACAAACCTCTCTTAGAACCCCCTCTCATTAAGGCATGGCGGGTACCAGGGTCAAAACAGTACATATTTTATTTATTGGAGAACATCTGCAGACCCCAGTTCTCTGTTATTCATAAGAAAACCCCAACCCAGAAGGACGAAGCTGGTGGGGAGGGTGCATGGGTGAGAGGGTAAGTGGGAGATGAAGTCAGGAAAAGCGTGCCTAAGTGCAGATGGCATCTGGCTGGTGTCACCAACACAGTGGCTCACGTGGAGGTGATATGGAGGCATATGGCAGACCCCTGGGAGTAGGACAGTCTGAAGTGCTTTCCAAGGGAAGTGGAGATGACACAGAAACATTCCTACTTGGAAAAATCTGTAAACACTTTCAAAAGCACTACCCAGTATTCTGAGCAAGTTCATGCCGTAAGAATGGTTTTCCCTGTACTGGGCATATTCAGTAAATACACACACTGGCTGGCCTTTACCAGGGTCCAGCTACCGCACCTTCCAGCCAGGTAGGGAACACCCCCCCATAGCTACCCAAACATCCTGGGAATTGCACAGGCCATATCTCCCGTGTCACGGAGATTTCTGACGGAAGCACGCTTCTCTAGCCTCCAGCCTTCTGAGAATATCCGCCCAGATTGGGAAAAGGACAGTGATTTGGTCTGAATATGCATCAGAAGTTTAGCTGCAATTTATTATGCAAAAAATGATCAATGGGAGACTAGCACCTGGCATAATGGCTATGTCGCTGGACTCCCATGTAGTCGACTGTGGTTCAAGCCACAAACACGGTGGCTTAAACTTACACCAGGTGCATGTGTGTGCATGCCCAAGATTCCGAGAGGAGAATGGAAGAGAAGGGATTGTGGCGTGGCCATCTCCCCTGGGAGGTGATTTCTTGCTTTCTGTCTCTCTGGCTCTCTCTGTCTTTTCAGCGAGCACATTTGCCCTATAGCAAAAACCTCTCTTGCCCCAAAAAAAAAACCCCCCAAAAAAAAAAAAAAAAAAAAAAGATCATTGGCCCTTACTGACCAGCTAAGCCAACCGTTCTGAAAAGTAGAATACTGAGGAGCAAGTTCTGCTAACAGGCTAAGTGACCTGAAATGTTTTCTGACCAAATGTCTGAATAGCCTTAATAAAGCAAACGGTTGTTTCAAGCATCTCACAAAGGCACAGGCGAAAGACTTTGTAAATTATAAACCACTACAAAAATCCTAATACTAGAGAAGACCTATTTCAAGGTACCAAAGAAATGCAAATTATAGCAATGGAAACCTGGGATCCTTAAAAACTACATGGAGGAGTGGGGACAATCCTTTGGGATCTATTTGGAAGTACAAGGAAGAGGTAAGACAGGCAACCAGGACTTCAGGCCGCATCAGTCTCATGGTCACACAGGGCAGGAAGCTGCCTCCCAAGCACCTCGGGGAGCAAGGCCTGGTCCTGGCCCAGGTGCACAGAGGAGGGAAACGCACCCTTCTCACAGGGACCAAGAGTTTAGCCCAAGAGAAAAACAATTTTGTTTTAATGTTATTTTCAATTTTATTTTAGATTGCTAAAGGGTGTGGCACTCACGAGAAAAAGAGAGAGAGACTTCCACTCCTCGCACCACCCAGGGGGCTCATCAATCTGCCATCCCTCCCCTCCAGTTCTCCTCTGGGAATTGAGCACACACACACACACACACACACACACACACACACACACAGCGTGTTTTGGGTTTTGAAGCTGCCAGTTCTGGGGCCTGAACCACACAGTCAGCCATGTGGGATTCTGCCACCAGACCAGAACAACGGTGTTTCCGAGTTTCGTGAACCCCTATGCTATGTCTGCAGAAATGTTATTTTGTTTGCATTCTACTTGAAATCTCTGGTTTTAATACAACATTAGGACCAGCATTTAGTGTAATGACTATGTCTCTGGACGCCCATGTAGTTGACCGCAGTTCAAGTCCTGGACCTGGTGGCTTAAACTCACAACAGGCGCGTGTGCGTGTGTGCCCAAGATCCAGAGAGGAGAGTGGAGGAGAAGGGACTGCAACATAGCCATCCCCCCTGGGGGTTGATTGCTCACTTTCTATCTCTTTATCTCTGTCTATCTTTCTGGGGAGCACATGCGCCCTATAGCAAAAACCTCTCAAAAAAAAAAAAAAAAAAAAAAGCAACATCGTATTTCTTCTTCAAAACACTGAATAAGTTGGATGCTCTAAGGAGAATCAGAGTCATGGTTATGGTGAAGCTTCAGGTGCCTTTCACATAATGCTCTGTTTCAGAGCCTGGCTGGTAACGTGGACAGAGCGAATGTGAAATAGTCGTAATAGAAATTATTAGTAAAAGATTTTTTCAAATAAATATTCACATAGACCATGTTGCCTCAGCACCATATACTGGCATGTTTTCTTCATTGCCAGGTTGTGTGTGCTCACCAGAGAGACAGAGAAAGAGAGAGAAGCTGCCCCAATCGGAGGGTGCTCGGATGGGGTGTGGTCATGACACAATCCCTTCTCTTATGTATTCTCCATCCTGTTGGGATTTGGGACATATATGCAGGTGCACCTGGAATTTTTCAAGCAGCCAATGCCAGAATTCAAACCACACAGCAGGCCATGAGAGGGCCAGCCCTCTTAGCCACTAGGAAATTGGGCGGGCCGGGCATGTTTTTAAACAAATATCCTTTGAAATGAAGTAGTATTTGTGATGATACCTGTTCTCCCTTTAACAAACATTGTAAAAGTTCCCCAAACCAATGAATGGGCTGAAAAAAGTATATTCTAATAGTGGACAAATGAGAAGTTTAGCCATTTGACATATTTAGCCTCTCTGAATTGTGCAGTGAACCGTAAACATGCACAATTTAAAATGTCAAATGAGTGTGCGAGTTAATAAGCGTCGTAAAATAACTAAATACTCTTAAACCGTGACATAATTAATTCTTCCCTAGCAATATACCCATTAAGCCAATTTCAGACACAATAAACAATACAGGAGGACATTTCACAAGTTAGATAGCAGCTCTGACAGCTGATGCTTTAAAGAATGTAACCATATCCTGACCCGTGTTATTAAAATTCCAGTTATTAATCCCATCTTATTGCCCTTTTGTTTTGGTAACATTTTCATCAAGGATTACGGAGATATTGTTAGGCTGGAAGAGCTTACATTTTCGGCTGTGATTCAGAACAGCTGCCATTCCTGTTTGGATAACCCTTCCTTCTCCTGCTTGTCTTTGCCCCAAGTTCCCCACAGCAAAACCTCACAATTCCTCACCATTTTGCAACTCCTCCTTAGGGAAATTCATGCCACAACCTAGCCCTGCTTGGTATTTCTTTATTTTCTCCAACACACTGAGTTACCAGGCGTGGGACAGGCTTATTCCTATGACCTCCTCTGTGATTTCTCATCCTGGGGGCAATTCAAAGGCTTCTGTCCCAGTGCTGAGGGCTGCACACCCATTCCTTCCTCAGGGCTGCTTTCACATTCAGAAACTGCAGCAGTCAACCTGAGGTTTCTGAGGAGATTCCCTGCCTTTCCCTTTATGTTGAAGCCCTCCCCTCTACTTAAACTAAAAACACTCGTTCAAAGATAAGCTATTATCATGCAGACTGGAGTGTAGCTCTATTTTTAAATCCTGTGTTTTCAAAAGGAGAATTAGAAAAGAAATAAAGAAAAGCCTGAAAGGAACCTTTTCAAGGGCCCAAATAACAGGTGAGAGGATTCCAGAAGAACATCTGCAGAGTTAACAGATAAAAGAGCTATGTGTTCCTGTGTTCCCCTGGGGGGCAGGGAAGAGGACTGGGGGTGGTTTACTTTGTTAAAATCATCTCTACAATGTTCATACTCACCAGTGTCAGCCGCCCCCCACCCCCCACCCCCCCAACACTTCCTCTGTCATATTTAACATATTTAATGTTGCCACACTAGTAAAGAGTAGGAGGTAGAAATGGATAAGTGGAGAAGGAAAATGCCTTAACATTTAAACATAATTCTGCTGATGGGTTCATAACAGATCCCAGAGAAAGGGCGAAAAGAAAACCCTGGTAAGTGCTTTCAGTGGTTCCTGTGAGTTTTCACCACAGCCTCAGGGGCAGGGTCCTGAGAGGGACTCTGCCTGGGCTCACTGACATACACAATCACCAGGCACCTGTGCCCCTTTGCAAGCCCCACCTTGGCTCATCATTTCAAAGGCTTTGTTCTACTATGAAAGACAGCAAAGAGAAAGTAGCAGGAGACCACTCCAAAGTCACTGCTAAAAACAAGGACAGGGCACTTTGGAGCATGGTTAAAGCACTCCAAAAAGGAAAGCTAAAATAAGCCTCTTCCCACTCCCAGAAAAAATAAATGATTAGTTTTGCCAAAGACATCCAATTGTTACAATTCACTTAGGGGTTTGCTTCGAATTTATTTATTTCATAGAAAAATATTCATCAAATCGCCACAGAACTAAAATAAACAAAACTTGGAGACCCATCACAGGAGGTCTGGGTTAGTGGTGGTTTGTTGTTCTGGCTAAGTTACTAACTGCAGTACTTGACAGGCTGAAAGAATGAAGCAGGTTTGCAGAGCTGGGGTATGATCTTTCATTAAAAGGACGATAATGAAAAGTATTAAAACCGTGAAAACAGAACACTGCTGTTAGATAACTACGCTCAGTGATAAACTGTCCGAACATAACGTAAATGTGACCGCGATTACCGAACGCATTTCAGCCCTCATATGAGCTCACCAGTCGGCTGAATCGCTGACGGCAACTTTGGCCCAAGTGCCGGCGTCTGTTGTCACGAATCCCACGTCGTCATGAGAGCTGGCAGATGACTGGTCAGAGAGATGTGGAGGCAGGATGGGCAGCCTGTCATCCTCTATGATGACGGTGTCGTCCTGGGGCATGTTCACTGTGGGAGAGAGCTGGTATTTCCCTGTCCAGTAGAAAAACAGAAGAAACAATTGCAGACCTTGATCTAAGGGTTATCTCTCATCAATTTAACACTTTACTATATCAGAAAAAATTCTAAACTCCTACACGTCTGCTCAGCCTAGTAGAACAAAATCAAATGTAGCAGATTTAGCTTTCATAAACGAGTGTCGAACAGAGCCCTCAAGATCCTCACTCTCTCTGACACCTCAACCCTGCGGCTCAGGGCACAGTGTGCAGTCTTTGGTTTGAAGATTCCTAAAGTCAAAGATGATCTCCAAAATGTCTTCTAATAGGAAATGCTAACAGACGCTAAGCTGTGAAACTTCTCTGAGAAACATTACCAGGAAATTTAAAGGGAAGCCCTGCGAACGTAGACCAGTCATTCCCTGATCCATCCACTCACCCACCAAGCAGCTACCCCATTGTACAATACCAGGCAGGGACTGTAAAACACAAGCTCTGTCCTTACGGCTCCCACCCTAGTGAAGGAGGAGACAGTGGTAACCACATGGTGGTAGGAGCCACGTGCTCAAGTGCCCTGGCATTCGCCTGTGCTGGTAATTGTTTGGGAAGTGAGGGTAGGAGGGCTCCTGGAATCTCAGCAGAGGTTAATGGTAGCCTTGGGAGTTGAAGGCTGATGGGGAGTCTTTGTACTAGAGGAGATGATGACATTTATTTTGAATTTTATCGACATCATTATTAAATGCATGGTGGAGAGAAGCCCACAGACCATTGAGGTAAGTACAATCAGTGGGAAACCCGGGGAGGAGAGAGGACAGGAGTGCTTGGACTGCCCAGAGCTTTCAGGCCATGCTCGGGAAGCCTGTACTTGCCCAGTGACTGCCAGCATCTAGTGTGCTCAGTAAGGAAAGCCCTTGAACTGTCCACACCGACCAGCTTCTTGCAGGAAAATCAGCTCAGCCTCATGGATCAGCATGACAGATATCACACTTCACAATCTTTCTTGGGACAAAATTAAGTTTCAATGCCCTGAATCTTCAAAGACAAAGCTGAGATCCAAATGATGTCACTTCTTTTTTTCCCAGAAATCTGCAAGTCTTCCAGCTTGCTCGCCAAATCTTGCCATGCTTCTTCAGAGCAAGGAAGTATGGCCGAGGCTCTGGGCCTTGTGGATAGTTATAAGAGGCCACACTAAAAGGAACACGAGCTGTGGTCTGAGGTAGGCCGCTGGCCTGAGGCCCAGTGGAGCTGGCAGACCGGATGATCTCCCTGGCCACCTCGTGGGACGGCGGCCTTGGCTTGCATTTTAAGCCCAATCTCCAAGTCAGCCATCTGCTTCCCACCCTAATAAAAGGCATGCTACATGTTCCCAAGCTACCACCATTTTACACTTTTCAAGATAAACAGGTTTTCAGGACCAGCAGATGGCGTAACAGCTATGTCGCTGGACTCCATGTATTCGACCACGGTTAGAGTCCCGGACCTGGTGTCTTAAACTCACACCAGGCGCGTGTGCGTGCGTGCCCAAGATTCCGAGAGGAGAATGGAGGAGAAGGGACTGCGGCGTGGCCATCCTCCCCAGGGGGTGATTTCTGGCTTTCTGTGTCTCAGCACATTAGCAGTATACAGGGGATTTATTAACATTCTAGGATCAGTCTTAGGTAAACATTCATAGAAATTTGGGGGATGGCAACAACAGCCTTGAAGGATTTTTTTAAAGGATATAGTTTTCTAGACATTTTACATTTTAGCAAAGATGGCTCAACTGGCTCCCTGAGTGTTCGACACATCTGACATGAGGAACCTGCTGCACGTGTCAGATGCACTCATGGCCGAGCTACCCTACTGCGGAAGTGCTCCGCGTTTCCTGCTCCCCACTCGGCGTGTTAGCAAGCAACATCACAAACGTTTCATTGGGACTTCAAAGCCACATAGGACTGTCAACTATAAAAACCAGCAGCTTTATAGGCTGCTCATAATAAAACCATAAATCAAATGTCATACTTATTCTCCTTTCCTGGGTTCAAGTCACTTACTCATTCCGACTCAAGTTTAACTGTACATAAACATAAACCTATATAAACCTATTCCACAAAAATATCATTCATAAATAAGGTGGGACATGCTTGCACTATTCATCAAAAATAGGTATGTTTCTCAAGACATACTTTTTTTTCCCCTAACAGTGCAAGAATTATATGAGGTGACTTCAAGAAGCTTCTGAAGAAAACGGATTTAAAGTATGAGTTTATTTTGGTGGGTGTTATTTTGAGTAAAATATTGCACTCTAATTTTCACAAAGATTACAGATAAATAAATGGCAAGAAATCTCTCCAATGGTAAGAGAATAACTTATCACTTCGCTCTCTGTGACTCTGGAGGCTAATTAATTAGTTCATGAGATTTGAGAATTCATATCTTCCATTACTTTTGCACTTCTGAGCATGCTTGCAAGAAAAACAGCAGGTTGGGTCTGGCTCCAGGAATACATGGTGAAAAAACGACAACTGCACTACCTACCTACGTGTGCTCCCGACCTCCACAGACACCACCTCTTGGTCACACTTGCTGGTTCCCACTCAGCATAAATGTGAAACCTGACTGACCTGGGAAGGCCACTTCTCCTGTTCTCCTTCCTCCTGTTTCTGATGGATAAACTTTCTTCTCTGCCCTACTAGTCAACCAACACCCATGTGGTAAGAAGTAAACCAGTCAACACCTTGCAGAGGAGTGAAACAAAGCGATATGACATGATTTTTACTGAACATTTATTCTTTGGTAAATTTACATAAGAAGGCAACACCATGCATGGTACCAGAAACAAATGAAATGAGGAAAACTGTGCTACTGCTGTGACTTCCAATAAAAGCAACACTTGTTCCATATTCTGTGTCAAATCTCTATGAGACACAAGTATTCTGAACATAATTATCTTTTAAACTCACCACAAATGTATGAATAAGGAAACTACAGAGACAAATTCTAAAATGGATATAACAGATTCAATAACACTTATTCAGAGAAAAACGTTGGAAAAACTTGAAGTTCCAGGCTCTCAAGTGTCAACTTACGACGTATTTTAGCGAGCTATGCCAATTACTGTCGTTATTCTTGTTTTGTTTTTTGGTTTTTTTCTTTTTTTCTTTTTCTTTTTAGTAAGTTAGGACAGTCCAATAATTAGAAAATATTTTTAAGGCTTTCTAGAGAAAGAAATCCTAACAGGCCCACTATAGATCAATTTTTGGTGAATGTCCATTACACTCTTTTTAACTCCATGGTAGAGGAAATCCAATCAAAACCACGACATATGGAGAAACTGTACCTTTGGTCACAATTCTACCCCACCCCACCGAAAGCTAAAAAGCTTGTTCAGGTTCGAGAAAGGTCGGTCTCACGACTCTGAAAAATCCAGATCCACACTGTGGTTCAGAAACATAAAAACTGTGTGGCTTTAATCAAACCCTTTAATTTCTTTGGTCCATACTCCTCTGAATAGAAGAAAGAAGGTCGGAGGACATGGTTTCTTTTTCTTTCTTTCTTTCTTTTTTTTTTTTTTTTGTGTAGGACATAGTTTCTAAGGTTGTTTCCAGAGGTCAACTTCTCTGGTTTTTGGATCTCAGTGGTTACCAGGATGACTGTCTGTCCAGTACTTTTGCCCACAGAGCTGGCCAATTACCAACTGATGCTGCTATAGAAGGAATGTTAGAAATGCCACTAACTCTTAGTGTGGGATCTGAGCATTCCCTAAAGAGGACTATTTTTTAGAAATAGGAAGTATCCAAAAGAAAAAACGAATCACAATGTGATCTTGGGACTTAGTTTCTTTCTTTCTTAAGTGGGGAAGTGCGACCAAACTGGACATCCTCCCACCTCTATGGTCTCTTCCTTCTTTGTATCACAGAAGCCCCTCCCCTGGAAGGTGTTCCCATAGAAATGGGTCCGAAAACATCAAAGTTCCTTTTGGTCCGGAGTCTTATGTGGAGAATATTCTATGTGAGAACTCATTCTGTTCAGAGTAACTCAATAATTTTTTAATGTAATCAGATAGAATTTCAATACGAGATTATCAAATATGTAGTACGACCTCCACGAAGTGATCCTAAATGTTAAAAAACAAGCATTAACTAAATAGGATCTGTCTGAGAAATGTCCATGTACCTAGACATTGTGCATCTAATGAATACGACTGTTACTGCTTTAGGCTAGTGGGAATTCAGTGCTCTCTTATTTTATATTTGGTCTGATGTTTTGGTTGTGACATAACATCAACTACAGGACTTCTAACTTCTGGTGGTAACTAAATTCACAAGTAGCTTGAGTCTTGGGGCCAATGATACTAAAATAAGAACTGACACAAACAGAGGAATTGTCAAGGTTGTAGAACACAAGATAAATCGAAGTAAGCACATACATTTCTCAAGGATAAACTACACAGGATGCCCTGTTTCCCTCAAAATATGTAAAAATTGGCCTTAAGGAAATACCCACATCATACAACATCAATTCTGCCTACCCTCAAACAGTAATGCATCTTTACTATCCAACTCAGACACTAAAAGGGCAAGCACAGGACATTGCAAAGCACAGGGCTGGGGGCCAGCAGGTGGCCAGCAGGTGGCGGGGTAGTTAAGGCGCTGGACTCCACATGGCGGAACATAGCTTGCATCCTGGATCCAGCAGCTTGAAAATCAAGCCTGGAAGGCATGCACGCCCCAAATCCCAGAACAGAGGAGAAAGGATTGTAGCATGGCTATCTCCCCTGGGGGTGACTTCTCACTTTCCCTCTGTGGCTCTTTCTGCCTCTCTCCAGCAACCACGCATGCCCTATGGCAAAAAGCCTTTAAAAAAGAAAAACTAAAAAAAAAAAAAAAAATCTAACTCTATTAAAAAAAAAAAAAAGCATAGAGGTGGGAGGGGAGGCACTGGTGTGGGGGCACACCCAGGATTTTAGGAGCCCATTACTCATCCAGCAGAGGGAGGAGAAAACATGTCAAGGACAGTGCAAAAGATGAGGACGAATAAGGCGGTAGCTAACAAAACCAGGACAACAGACTTAAAGAAAATGCAGGACTCCTCAGCCCACAGAGATATACAGATATATAGAGAAAGATAACTCTCTATATATACAGCATTTCAAAGGTCACTAGGTGAACTGGGGTTTTGGGGTTTGTTTTTAGTTTTAGCTTTTCGCCTTCCTCGGAAGCATCAGGGATTGGAGGCAGGACGCAGGTTACAGGAGCTGGTGGGCCAATGGTCTGATTCAGTATGGCAAGTCCTACGTTCCTATAATAAAGGGGAAATTACAGCGTATCACTAGGTATGCACACAGATCCGGGGACACACGCGCACTCTGTCTCTCAAGGCATCTGAAATCTCATTAGTAAAAAAGAACTTAACAAAGATAAAACTTTACACTAAAGCCAAGAAGGTATGACACACCTGACAGCAGTGAAGAGAAGGGCCCTGACCAAGCAAAGGTCAAAAGTTACACACCAGGGCCAGCAGGTGGTGTGGTGGTTAAGGCACTGGGTCCCACAAGGCCAACTCCACAGTTCAAGACCTGGACCCAGCAGCCTGAAAATCATGCTGGGCACATGTGCATGCATGCCAAAATCATGACAGGAGAATGGAGAAGGGACTGTGGCATGGCCAACCCCCAAGGGGTAATTTCTTACTTTCTCTCTCTCTCTCTCTCTCCCTCTCTCTGGCAAATGCATGCACCCTATAGCAAAAATTTATAAAAAATAAATAAAAACTACAAAGAAAACAGAGATATACCATGGGCAATGCTTTTCTCCTAATTGGAGTTTAATCAAACAAGTAAAAAGGGAAATAAAGACAAAGTGAAACCAGAATGCTAACCTGTCTAAGTTCCACACATAACATGTTAAGAAACTGAGGGACCAGCAGTTGGCATAATGGCTATGTCGCTGGACCCCCATGTAATCAACTGCAGTTCGAGTCCCGGACCTGGTGGCTTAAATTCATGCTGGGCGCATGCGTGTGCGTGCCCAAGATCCCGAGAGGAGAATGGAGGAGAAGGGATTGCGGTGCGGCCATCCCCCTGGGGGGTGATTTCTCGCTTTCTGTGTCTCTGTCTCTCTCTGTCTTTCTGGTGAGTGTACGCGCCCTATAGCAAAAACATCTCCAAAAAAAGGGGAAGAAATGGAGAATTTAGCAATTTCTATACTGGAAGCTAGAAAAATTTGGAAGAGAATTCTACTAGTCGTGTCCTGTATTTCCTATCATGCCTAGTAGAAAACGCTTAGCAGACAGAGATCGTTTCCTCCTCATCTCTGTACCCAGGACCAAGACAGCACCGTATACCAACGAAGCCTCACCATAAACACCTGCTGATCAACTAAGTAAATTCCTGTTTCGATGAAGGTCTATCATGGAAACTTATATTGTATTAAATCTGCATTAAATGTACTCAAAATGGAGTTAAATTCAAGGTTTTCCTTTAAATTAGTCTTGCAAATATACCAGTAAAAAAACTGCTTTGTGTCTGTGTTATATTAACTCAAATAGCTTCTGATGCTTTAAATTTAAAAGCTCTCACTAGCTAATGCCAAGATGAGCCACTCAGTAAATCCAGCCACTCCCGTGGCAAAGCAAGTCTTCCTGACCCGGCTCCGCCAGGAGAAAGCGGGGTGGCTGCAGGCCAGCGCCCACAACCTCCTTCCTGCTGGGGTACTGTGGGTGATGTGGCGGGGGACCCAAAGAAACAATGCAGAAGAGCAGTTTTGGGAATTTAAAACTAAGGCTTCGAAGAACTAGAAGTTGGATGGAAGTATAGCAACGTCCTATTTAGTACAAGGCCAAACAGTGACGTTCATACACGTGAGCCTGCAGGTCTGCACGCATACACTCCCACCCCTCGAAGCAGCACTGAGGTAAGCGACACGCGACTTGTGAATCCTTTTGGTCATAAGTAGATTTGTTTTCTTAAAGCGTGGCTTCCCTTTTGATTTCAAGCAAGCTAGGAATATTCTGATCAATGCAAGATATTTCTTAGGTTCCCACCTCTTCTTCATGCTTCTCACAGGGTTCGGGATCTAAAGCTCACTTAACAAATCAATGTATTGATTTACTCTCTTCACATTAACGCATCTTGAATGATTATTATGAACCTGTTGTTTTTCCTCCAGAAAACAGGGGCCCTTTACATTAATATTACATTAATAGCCTCTCAGCGAACCAGCGGAAGCAGGGCCATGATGTGATAAACAGTTTTACCTGACTCACCCATTATCCTGCTCAGCGCGGCATTTCTCGTGGGTGACTCATCGAGCCCCTCGATCCCACTGTAGAGGGAGTGGGAGATTCTCCGCTCTCTGTCATCCAACACTGTTTCCATTGGCAGCTCAGGTCCGGGGGGACTCCCAGGTGACTTGAGCTACAGAAAGAGGGGGGCAGGGAAGATCAGTACTGGATGCCCATCAGCAGCAGGGGGGAATTATAACAACTTGCCCAAGGCCTGTGTCCAACTGGGTGCCAAATGGACTAGAACTTTTCATCCTGCACCGAAATAATTTGTGATGACAGGTCTGCCTAATGACCAACTTTCCGTGCCCCTTTGGACTGCGTCTCCCATGAAGTTCTGTCAGATTTCAACCACTGGAGGAAAAATATGTATATTACAAGCATTTTTAAAATCTTTTCTTGTGGCTTATTCTTTTCCAACTTGACGGCTAGAATCTGTTGAAGTCAATTTAAAGTGTAGTTTAATTCAGAATTCTTTATTAGATGTTGCTCTATTAAAGGCAGGCTTTCTCAGCAGGGCAGTGGAGCTGGGCTACAGTTTTATACTATAGTGTACGCCTCACGATTAACACACAGTAACACGTGTGCTGGGAGCATTACTCCAGGAGACATCCAGACTCCATTTGTCAGCTCGGGTCAGAAACAATACACTGATGGGGACCAGCAGTTAACATCATGGCTATGTTGCTGGACTCCCTCGTAGTTGACCACGGTTCAAGTCCCGGACCCGGTGGCTTAAACTCACGCCGGGCGCGTGTGCGTGCGTGCCCAAGATCCCGAGAGGAGAATGGAGGAGAAGGGATTGCGGCGTGGCCATCCCCCCAGGGGGCGATTTCTCGCTTTCTGTCTCTCTGTCTCTCTCTTGTCTGTCTGGCGAACGCACGCGCCCTATAGCAAAAGCCTCTCAAAAAAAAAAAAGAAGAAAACAATACACTGAATTGAAATTCATTCTGTTAGAAATGAAGAAAAATACAGTATTATCTTATTGCAACTCTTAAGAACAAGATAGTAACTAAGGGAAGAAGAGCGTTTAGGGAACCAGCAGTTAGCGTAATGGCTATGTCGCTGGACTTCCACGTAGTCGACCATGGTTCGTGTCCCAGGCCCAGTGGCTTAAAACTCACGCCGGGTGCGTGTGCGTGCGTGCCCAAGATCCCGAGAGGAGAATGGAGGAGAAGGGATTGCGGCGTGACCATCCCCCGTGGGGGGTGATTTCTCGCTTTCTGTCTCTCTGTCTCTATGTCTCTCTCTGTCTGTCTGGTGAGCGCACGCGCCCTACAGTGAAAATCTCTCCAAAAAAAAAAAAAAAGGAAGAAGAGCGTTTACAGGGACAAGCCAATGGTGTGATGGGTAAGGCTCTGGATTCCACATGGCTGACTGAATGGTTTGAATCCCAGACCAGGTGGCTTTAAAAACATGCCGGGCACGTGCGCGTGCATGCCCGAGGTCTTGAGAGGAAAATGGAGGAGAAGGGGTTACAATGGTTACAACGTGGCCAGCCCCCACGGGGGTGCTTTTTCACCTTCCCTTTCTCTCTCCCCCTCTCTGTCCTCTCAGGAGAGCAAATGCCCCATAAAAGTTTAAATAAAAAAAAAAAAAGAAGAAGAATGTTAGTAGTATCCAGAACAATATGGAATTTAAGGATATTTCAAATATTTGAATGGAGCCTGCAGAGGCCTGAGTATTTCACAAACACATAACCTATTAAATAATCAAAAACCATATAGGTCAATTTATGTGGTCATAAATGAAAAGACTATGTATGTAGCAGGGGCCAACAGGTGGCGTAGTGATGAAAGCACTGGATTACCACATGGCCGACCACAGTTCGAGTCCCGGACATAGGCAGTACGCTTTCTAGCTTTCTCTCTCAGTGAGTACATGTGCCTTATAGCAAATAATAATAATAAATAATTCTTAAAGAAAAAGAATATATGACATTTCTTTAAAATGGCTGCATCTTACAAGTCATACTCTTTGTAGAAATAATAGCAATCAGAACTTTATACCGGTGAGGCCTTGAAACAAATCTACTTCAAGGAGGAGCAAAGTACACTTGACTTCAATGCTCTGAATGCAGCCCGTGAGGTCTACCCTGTGGACTAAGGCATCCGCGAGGCCGCGCCGCCAGCCAGTCATGCGGAAGGCAGTGCGGGGAGCGGACAGGAGCACAGCGGCGGAGGGGAAGGACTGCACACAGACAGATGAGCCGCAGCCGGCTCCGTTCCCTCGTCTGAGCACATGATTATTTCTGTTAGAAGCTATCATCTGTTTAATACAAATGAGATATTTAATGAAGTTCTGAATTGTAGACTTATCTCTCCCAGTTTGATAAGCACTGGGGAGATTTAATGCATTGAAGGGTCAACACAATTACAATCGGAGGCACGTCCAACTGCAGGGGAATAATAAATTTGCAGCGCCAGTGAATTAGACTCCATAAGGTTTAAATTGTGAAATGAGAACTTGTTTTATTAGGTGGTTTTTTAATTGCAGATTACAACTGACAACTTTACTGAAAAGTAAATTAAATATTCAAGGTCTCTGATGGAAAGAAAGAAAAGAATATTTTCTGAAAGAATACAGTGTCTACATTCCAAGATACTCTGGGGAAGTAAAAACAAACAAACAAAGAAAACAAAACTAATACCTATACCAAGATCACATATGTTTGAGTTTTCTTAAATGAGCACATACATTAAAGAGATGTGCCATCCAAGTCCCCATGTACAAAACCTGCTTGCCATGCAATAATTTATTTTATCAGAAGATAGACAACATATCCTCAAGTTTCCTTAAAATATACATTTATTGAACTACGTAATTCAGCAATTTTGTACATGATAAAACTTTCACAAAGCTCCTTCACAACAAATCCCTAAATATCTCAAGGGGCTCTTTTAGACTTTTATAACATCAAATAAAAATTCCATCAAAAAATAATATATACAGGCTTTCTAGAGAAAAACAGTGAGATACCTGATCAGAAAGAACCACTGTGCGCTGGAACATTTTCATGGGACAGATTCTACCTCCCTACCCAAGCCTAATCTGCATCTCAAAAGAGAGATTTAAATGAAGACATCAATAGTCTTCTACATAAATATTTAACAGAGGATACAATGGCTTTTAATTTCTTAAAAAAACTGATTGGGGTTCACAGTTCCGTTTTAAGTCTTTTGATTTTTGTTGTTGTTGTTGCAAGAGAGTGAGTTTCAGAAAGGGAAATGTGTCAGATGGTGGCTAGGAGCGGGACGGGGGTCAGAGCTGAGGTCCTGGACATGCACTGGCATCCACTGGGGCACAGACCTGCATATCAAAACCATTAACATCCAGCTTCACTGGAAGAAGCCAAAGTAAAACAGAACTGTAATCTCATTTTGTTGTTGAAAGTATGAATCTTTTTTTTAGTCTGACTTAATTTAGTACCAGGTAGCAGAAGCAGTCTGACCCCTCCACAGCTGCCCTAGGGAAGCCCTTCTGCCTAAGACAGGATTAACAGTAACTCCAGGCAGCAGCAAAATAACCACGTTATAAGGAATACAAGTGATAACGTCTTTTGCTGAAGTAATTTTGAAATATATGTCATAGGTCAAAAAAGATCTTTTTTTAATTATTATTATTCTGAATAGATATTTGTTTTACTTTGTGGGTTACTGTACTAAAAACAATAAGCTAAATGAATAATAAAGATTCATGTGAATGAGTATTTATCATGACTTTATTTACAAAAGCAAAAAAGTGAGAATAACCTCAATATCTAACAATAACGGAAATACAGTGTGCTTTAAAAGACATCCAGGGCCGGCCCCATAGTCTAGTGACTAAGGGAGCAGGATCCCACATGGATGACCACAGTTTAAATCCCAGCCTTGAAAAACATGACCACACATGTGTGCATGTGCACCCCCAAATCCTGACAGATGGAGAAACCAAGGGCAAGGGGTTGTGGCATGACCACGTCCCATTTGGGAGTGACTTCTCTCTCTCTCTCTCTGCCTCTCCTGGGCAAGCACATGTGCCCTCTGGTAATTAAGAAAATAAAAAAGGTATTCGAATGACTATATATCGGAAAATTAAGAAATGCTTTTTTAATAACAAAAGTTGGACATCACCCAATGAATATGCTTTCCATTATACACTTGGCATGGTCTTGGGAAAAACTGAAATCTTGGTTGACTTTTAAAACACTAATAGAGTTTCTGTGAGGTTTAGTAAAACTCTCTCTTTATTATAAGCATGCATTAGTGGGTCACATGAAGTTTTTCCCCTAAAGAATACATATCCTACC